GGCCTGTTCTAAACATTTTCATGTTTAAACAGCAAGCAAAATGATAGGGGCTTGGAACCTACCCCTTTGAAAAAATTGTTTACTCTATAAAAGTTTACTGTGGAAGTGATGAGTTGCAGTTTGTTGCAGGACAAGTGGAAATTATAAATGTCTTTTTAAAGGCACTGTTATAAAGAATAGTTGAAATGGATGCCTAGGTTAACTACTTATAGTTCACACACCTGAACTTGCTGGTGGGAGGCTGATTCGTGGTAGACTGCCTAGGAGTTTTATAAACACAGCTCTCTTCTATATTTTTTTTGTCAGTGAGTTGCATGTCTACCTTCTACTACTTTGGAAATGTCATAGAAACATGAAAGAGTTGCATCATTTTCCTGAATTTACTTTATTATTGCAACTTTGGATACAGCACGGGAGGGGGAGATAGAGGAGTTCAACTAGCAGCCGATGCAATATTCTGTGAGCAGTTTTATTCATCATGCCCCATTTCAAAGCTTCTGGGCCGCCTTTTCACAATTCATTGGCATGCACCAACATACATGTCAACAACAACAATCTCAATAGCTCCCCACATCTGCATCATCAACACAACTCGCATTACAAACACTCTCACAATCTCACACCTCCTACAACTTCCTTTACCAACACTACAGACAGACTACCACATATCCTCTTCTCACATATGTACTAAACATATCACCTAGCGCGGCTCATATGGTACACATATGCCTAATGCCTGCTCAATATCTACAAGCTAGCAGTCCAATAGCACATCCACCCACAGGACTTGTTTTTTATTCTATCAATTCCAACCGATACTGAAATGTTTACGCCTACTGTCTTTCCAAATGGGTTCTCGTTTTCAATGGCTTATCTAAGTCCCATGACCACCCTTTTAAAACCTTGTTTTGAAGCATGCAATACATTTAAAAAAAAACTTTTTCCACATGATTCTTTTATCAAGGTGTCTTTCAATTGCTTTACTTTCAATTGAAGCAGAACTTCCTTCTAATTTATCCTCAAATGAAAATGCCCTCTGCTGGTTGATCTGTGTAATGCTATAAGCTATATAATTCAAATGAAGCACACCTTCCTTTTAATTTCTCCTCAACTGCCATCTCTTGGCTGATTTGTGTATTGCTAGGAGCTCTATATGTTTTAATGCTACTTTGCATTGCATGCAGAAAATAACCCTGGGGCGTCGACGCAGTATGCAAATTCCTCCATGAAAAAAAACTGTATAGCAAATTTCGTTCTTCCTATCTCTTGAACCCTTCTGTCCTGCATTAACTCACTATGACATCCTGTCCAGGTATGACTTTTCCCAGCATTATAGTGGGCCTGTTCTAAACATTTTCATGTTTTAAACAGCAAGCAAAATGATAGGGGCTTGGAACCTACCCCTTTGAAAAATTGCTCACTCCATAAAAGTATACTGTTAATGTAATGATTTGCACTTTGTTGCAAAGGTATGCTTGTAGCAATTTCTCATTGCAGGTCAAGTGGAAATTGCAAATGACTTTTTAAAGGTGCTGTTATAAACAGTATTTGAAAAGGATGCCTAGGTTAACTGCCCATAGTTCACCCACCTGAACTTGCTGGTGGGAGGCTGATTCGTGGTAGACTCCCTAGGAGTTTTTGAAACACAGCTCTCGTCTATATCTTTTTATGTCAGTGAGTTGCATGTCTACCCTCTACTACTTTGGAAATGTCATAGAAACATGAAAGAGTTGCATCATTTTCCTGAATTTAATTTATTATTGCAACCTTGGATACAGCACGGGAGGGGGAGATAGTGGAGTTCAACTAGCAGCCGATGCAATATTCTGTGAGCAGTTTTATTCATCATGCCTGTGACAAAGTGCCCTTCGCCACTTGTGCCTGGAGAGGACTGCTTGCCCGCCTCTTGCCCTGTGACTATGGCCCCTGGGATGTATTGCCCTTTAAAGAAATGATTTGGGCATAATGGATTTGTGTTGTGCTGCTGCTGGCCCTTTAAGAACCATCTGGGGACATACTGTGGAGTTACTGGGTGGCCACCATTTCCTGTATCAGAAGCACATGGTGAGAACAATGGATGGCGGCCATTTTAACTCACAGACACTGTTTGGACTTTTCAACACGGTGCCGTCTCGCCAGTATTTGGTGCACAGAGACATCATGCAGTGGTTTTGGACTATACAGCAGGGGACACATTATACAGTGGGACTGGGACATCCACAACATCAGGGAAACCCTGCTGGATCTTCCCCGAGCGGACGACCTGGGGCCAGACCTGAGTTATCTGGTCGCAATGGAGTGGGGGCTGGAGCAGAGCTACCGACGCCTGTTCAACTTAGCCCAATCACCGTCCCTCGGCCCAGAGGATTACCTGGACACCCTACCCTCTTCTGTCCAACCAGCCCCAGAGGTGAGCAACCTAATGGAACGGTCCTGGGAAGACCCACAGATGGCAGGTGGAGATGGAACCGAGGTCTCTCCACCTGCCCCACAGGGATGCTGGGTACCCGGCCCAGATCCCCAGCGGCAGTGTATCTCACAGGGAGAGGAGACAACCGGTCTCCCTTCCCAGCAGCAGCCTGAGTTCCAGGAGGAGGTGATGGTAGATCCCTCCCCCATACAGCAACCAGCGTCCTGGGGAGGGGAGGCAACCGGCCTCCCTCTCCTCCACCAACCAGAGGTACCTGAGGTAGTGGACCTTATAGACGTGTCCTGGGGACACACAGAGATGGCAAGCGGAGATGGGACCGAAGTCTCTCTGCCAGCCCTACAGGGATGCTGGGCAGTCAGCCCAGGTCCCCAGCGGCAGCATAATATACAGGGAGAGGAGACAACTGGTCTCTCTCCCCAGCGGCGGCCTGAGTTCCAGGAGGAGGTGATGGTCGATCCCTCCACCTTACAGCAACCAGCGTCCTGGGGAGTGGGGGCAACCAGCCTCCCCCTCCAACAGCAGCCAGAGATACCGGGAGAGGGGGAAGACAAACCTAACCACACTGGCGCAGATGGGACCGCGGTCTCTGTGCCAGTCCTACAGGGAGGCTGGACGGGCGGTCCAGATCCCCAACCAACCCCGCAGGGATGCCAGGAGGAGGAGGTAAGCGAAACTTCCCCTCCCCAGCTACATCCCAACCGGGTCCTGGGGGCAGTGGATGAGCCTGCGATACCCACTGACCCCCTCCCAGCAGAAGAGCTGGCATCTGGGCAGAGCTCTGTTAGCCTCTGCCCCCCCTTTTCCCCTGTATCAGAGCCTGACTTACCACGGGTTACCCCAGTGGAAGAGCTGGCAGCAGGGCAGAGCGCCGCTGGCCTCTGCCCCCCAAGCAACACCAGCAGTTTGCCTAGCTGCACCAGGGAGACCGAGAGTGCTGCGCTGTCCCACTACAAACTTGAACCTACAGGCCAGTACCATTTATTGTGGGGGGGTTACTCTGCATATTTTTCTTT